ATAGTGCATTAGCATTTTAACTCCCGATTTGGAGTTCAACTCACCAATAGCCAGTAAAGCCCGTCTATATATGTTCTGGTAGAACTGCAAGTGAAATGACCCCGATGAGTCATTTTTCTCATCTATTTCTAGCCCCGGCAGACTAGAGATTCTGGTAGCACATTAAAATAATGGAAGAATTGACAAAAGTAGCAGGTCCTGACTTCGGTAGGTGATAGGTGTTCTGGTCGAATTGCAATTCAAATGACCCCATTGTTTGTAACATCTAGTTTTAGTCGTGGCAGACTAGAAAATCGGGTTGAACATTAAAGTGATGGAAGAATTCACTAAAGCAACATTCCCCGATTCCGGTCGTGGAAAGTTGTAAAGGAAACAGTTTTTAGGGCATAAATAAAAGTGAATTGTTTCTAGACAGAATCAACAAGCGGTTGCTTCCATTATAGGATAGGTCCTAGCTTTTACTTTTACGGTGGTCCATTATATCAATTAATGTTGTTTTTCTGGTTTTCATTTAACATGTAAGTCCTCGATCGTATATCAATTGAGCTAAAATAGTGGCAAAATACTAAGCAATGATATCTCCGGACCAAAATCTTCCTTTTCCCAATATGCAAAAATCCAATAAACGAACAAGTGATGATGTACTGTTTTGTCCGGAAGCGAGTCCAAATTCATCAAATTCAAATCAGTTTGAGATCTTGTGTTCTTCGTCGGTGTGAAATTTCCTGTACGACTTTTTACGAAATGAATCTGTTGGAAAGGTTGCAAAACTTGTCACGTTGAATTGTCATCAGTAATGGATATTGCAGCGTGTCTACAATAACTCGCCCTTGTTAGACCTTATTAGTTGATTCTTATAATATATTTTCAGATCTTTGAGGTTTATTTCGAACTTTTCATAGTAACTATTTAAGTTGATGTAACTGTTCTTTCAAACAATTACTTCTGCTACTCCAACACGAGAACTTTCATTTGTATACGCAACATTCCGTATACCACTTGGCCACAGATTTTAAATGGCACATAATGGTCCTATAATACTAGTATGTGGTCGAATAACCTTGTAAATCATACGTTATTTTGACACTACTCTCTCTACTGCCTGATATTCTCTATATGAAATATTGAATATCAGGCAGTAGACTTCAGTGATTCGTGTTAAATAACTCCGGACGTGCCCCCCTATGGAGGAGAATGAAAGAATGAAAGGAGTCAAAACTTTCTCTTGTAAGAAGCAGTTACAGACCGAAGCAATAACTAACGTATAATCCAGAAACATCCCATAATATAGTCGTGAAATTGAAGCAAAAACTATCAACAAAGTCTTGCGAAATTTCTGCTGCAAAGTCGGGTCAGACGATATAAGTTTTTATAAACAAAATTGAACCACCTAGTTCCCAACAGAACAACATAATTTCTTAAATTACACAATGTTTTCTTAGAAATTGATCAATTGGGTTAATTATGGAACGGTTTGTTATTGTTGTTGTTATTTCAAAACACAAACCACTTTACTACAAGTATATTACCGATTCTCATACCCCGCAATTCTTTAGCATTTAAAGTTTTGCACTAAATGCCGAATTAAGTCGTAAAATTTTAATTTACGATTTGTTTACAAAAATTTGCTGTGAATTGTGAATATTATTATTTGGGTTTTTGTTTGTGTTATTCGCATTTTTATTTGTTTCGTTTTAATTATTTTTCATACTTCAAAAACAAAAAGGCGAAATAGCTTAGTTTCGGTTTTGTTTTGATTTTATATTTTTTTTATTGAGTTCTACTATTCCAATGAACGAAAATAAAAATGTTCAGGCCTTCCATATCTTCCATGTCTATCTTGAGGCGATAGTAGTATTTTCTTGAAATTATGCTGCAGGCATCCATTAGAGGATCCTGTTTGTTTTTCCAACGTGTGCACAACACGAGTATTAAGTTTTTGCGTATTTTCTTGCAGCTACATGTTGCTGCCTGCATGATTGTGTTTTTGTTGTGTGAATGGTCGAGTAAATTTTTATTTTGTTTTGATTTTTTTCATTCGTAAACACTAGCACAGCAGTGGGCCGTCCGTCCGTCTGTATATCTTTCATTGAGTCTACGATTTAGTCAAGTTATTGTTGTTATAATTTTATGACTTGTCGTATGAGCGAATGTAAGACAGACGGACTGAGTAGTGAGTAGAAGGGGAAATTTTATATGTTTTTGTATTTCTTAGAAGTCCGTATGTCACGATAAAAAAATATCACGTTTCTTAGAATTGTTTACATTTTCTTATTTATTTTATTTTTTTGCTCTCGAAGATTTGTTTATTTTTGCAAACAAATTTAATGACCCGAAGTGGTTGTAGTACTTTAGAAAAGTGTAAACATCGAATATTAATGCTGGGTAAAGCAGCACATTCTTTGAGTGGGGTTACATCAATGTATTGCAAATGTAAACAATATATATTGGCCAAATTTTAATACCCTACTATTACCGGGTATCATCACGATCTTATCATTTTCCACGCATTCTTCATTCTGAAAAGAAGAATTATCCAAGTAAATGGCTGAGCTCTTAAGCCAGACGCCAGAGGATTGGTTTAAAATAAGTCGTTGAAGTTTTCACATGAGAAGCGGGGAACCTTCAAAAAGTAGGTTTGAGTTTTTAATGCTACTCCTCCCGTAACGATCTAACTAACTAACTAACTAACTAACTAACTAACTAACTAACTAACTAACTAACTAACTAACTAACTAACTAACTAACTAACTAACTAACTAACTAACTAACTAACTAACTAACTAACTAACTAACTAACTAACTAACTAACTAACTAACTAACTAACTAACTAACTAACTAACTAACTAACTAACTAACTAACTAACTAACTAACTAACTAACTAACTAACTAACTAACTAACTAACTAACTAACTAACTAACTAACTAACTAACTAACTAACTAACTAACTAACTAACTAACTAACTAACTAACTAACTAACTAACTAACTAACTAACTAACTAACTAACTAACTAACTAACTAACTAACTAACTAACTAACTAACTAACTAACTAACTAACTAACTAACTAACTAACTAACTAACTAACTAACTAACTAACTAACTAACTAACTAACTAACTAACTAACTAACTAACTAACTAACTAACTAACTAACTAACTAACTAACTAACTAACTAACTAACTAACTAACTAACTAACTAACTAACTAACTAACTAACTAACTAACTACTAACTAACTAACTAACTAACTAACTAACTAACTAACTAACTAACTAACTAACTAACTAACTAACTAACTAACTAACTAACTAACTAACTAACTAACTAACTAACTAACTAACTAACTAACTAACTAACTAACTAACTAACTAACTAACTAACTAACTACTAACTAACTAACTAACTAACTAACTAACTAACTAACTACTAACTAACTAACTAACTAACTAACTACTAACTAACTACTAACTAACTAACTAACTAACTAACTAACTAACTAACTAACTAACTACTAACTAACTAACTAACTAACTAACTAACTAACTAACTAACTAACTAACTAACTAACTAACTAACTAACTAACTAACTAACTAACTAACTAACTAACTAACTAACTAACTAACTAACTAACTAACTAACTAACTAACTAACTAACTAACTAACTAACTAACTAACTAACTAACTAACTAACTAACTAACTAACTAACTAACTACTAACTAACTACCTAACTAACTAACTAACTAACTAACTAACTAACTAACTAACTAACTAACTAACTAACTAACTAATAACAACTAACTAACTAACTAACTACTAACTAACTACTACAACTAACTAACTACTAACTAACTAACTAACTAACTAACTAACTACTACTAACTAACTAACTAACTAACTAACTAACTAACTAACTAACTAACTAACTACTAACTAACTAACTAACTAACTAACTAACTAACTAACTAACTACTAACTAACTAACTAACTAACTAACTAACTAACTAACTAACTAACTAACTAACTAACTAACTAACTAACTAACTAACTAACTAACTAACTAACTAACTAACTAACTAACTACTAACTAACTAACTAACTAACTAACTAACTAACTAACTAACTAACTAACTAACTAACTTACTAACTAACTAACTAACTAACTAACTAACTAACTAACTAACTAACTAACTAACTAACTAACTAACTAACTAACTAACTAACTAACTAACTAACTAACTAACTAACTAACTAACTAACTAACTAACTAACTAACTAACTAACTAACTAACTAACTAACTAACTAACTAACTAACTAACTAACTAACTAACTACATATTACATTCACTGGCCAGTGTCAACCCTAAACACAACTTTAAATTTCTAACCCTTTACCAACCCATTCTCCACCATTCCATCCAAACTCAACTCAACACAAAATGGAGTATTTTCTTTCCAGCCAAAAACTATTTACCAAAAACCCAACATTAAATGTATTTTCGCAATTTTTCGCTGATTGTCTATTATGTCAAGATATGACATGTTTCGTTAGTCCCCTTTTCCTTTATGATATTCTGTACTGTACGCTAACATGACCACTAAACAACACAATGTATTGGAGGACGAAAATGCAAAAAAAAATCTCTAAATGGAGGGTTATCATAAAAATACAATTCCTTTTGGTTTAATATTCTTGTTTACTTTATTTTTTCGTAACTTTCATTCTATTTTTGGCACGCAAATGTCATGCAAAAATCTGACAACGAAATTAAGTTTTTTTTCTATTTGCCAAACAAAGAAAAAAGGACAAAGAAAAAGGACTTGTGTTTAAAAAACTGATATTTTGATAGAATAACAGTTTATTTATGGAATCGAGGAAATTTAGTCCTTGCAAAAGCCTTTTAAACAAATTTGTTCATGTTGCAATAAAAGTGATGTTAAAGTTAATTTATTTTCATTTAATATATAAAACCAAAAAAGAATTATTTTTAAAACTCAATCACTTTTTACAATATTTTCACGATTATCTATAATTCTTCGTTTTAACGGTGTAAAACGTATGCCTTTCGATATTTGAACATCATAACTGATAGCAGCACTCCAGGGTATAACAATTTCATCTTCCAATCTTTCATAAGGTTTCTTTAATTTAATTTTCTTCGATTTTTGTGTTTTCTTTTGTTTCCTCTTTTCACGTTTCTTTTTCTTTGAATTCGCCCCCATAGTCTTATCAGTATTTAAAGTACTATTTTGATGTTTTTGCCAACAAGGTTGAATAATATAGAATGTCAATAATTCCCCCAGAAATAGTACTGTACTTATCATAATGCCTAGTATTAAAATAGCAAATGGTCCCTGAAGATGTTGTGTTGTTAGAACAATAACAATTTCTGTAAATTATAGAGATAATTTATTTTGAACTGTTTGAGTCTTTAAGAGCCATTAGCAATTACCTTGAAAATCTGGTCGCATTTTGTTAATACGATTTAGATATGTGTTGTTGTATATAAAATCGGTTTGTATTTTTTTAAATATACCAAAATCTCTCATATAACGTATCATTCTATTGAAATCATATAGAAAAGGGAATCCTGGTTTCATAATCATTTGCATGGGACTGGAGAAAACATTATAGGGAAAGGCATAGATATCGTCGGATAAAGCATTCTGTAGTATGTACATGCGGCTACTTAAAAGAACGCGTTCACCAATTTTAACGCCTTCCAAATTCACAGTGGTCGGTTCAAAGTCAGATGTATCATTATAATCGTCGAAAATCCACATATCCTCATCGTTTTCAAACCAATCACGGCTCTCTTCTAAGCCACCTGTAACAGATAAGCATTATGGATTTGTCTAATATATATAGTTTTCTTAACTTACCATAAGGTATGCCCGCCTCTTTAACTTCTTGTAAATTATCAATTTGATGCAGAAACCCTGGATTCGCAAACACCGCTATCAGTTTCGAGGTATATGTCGAGGTAAGATTTAAACCATATAAAGCCAAAAATATAAAGAAAATACGTGATGCTCCACATATTGGTCGCTCATTGGCCGAAACACATATTGTTACTGCCAAATTATTAATGCCCGTCAATGATAATTCTCTGGCATACAAAGGTTCTGGTAGGAAATTTACAAGTATAAACCAAGTGATCCAGGTCAGTATAAGCATTAATATACATGCTAACCAAGTCATATTCTTAAAGATGGCATATAGAGCCATCCAGGGAGGTCGCGGATCGGCAAGTTTAATAAACCATGTATAGGAATCATCTAGATATGTATCGGATACCCAAAAACTTTGTATAACATCGTTATCGGGATAAAAACCTCCCACTATAAAATCGCAAGATCTTTCATTAAGACGACCCAATAGACCAGACCAATTGCCGTCTTTCTCTTCAACACCACGACTTTCTCTTTCGCATGTTTGATTGATCTGGGGAGTAAATTAACAAAATTTAGTAATTGTAAGAATTTTTCATAAAAATGGATAAAATTATATTTGGTGGCCCAAAATATATATATATATATCAATCCCAGCAGTCTAATATTTCGTTGTGGCAATTACTCTGATTTCAAACCTTTAGACCAGAATATAGTTTATTTATCTCATCAAAGTTAAACCTTTACCTTCAAAGCAATATCAAGGAATATCAGACGATATTCAATGCGAGCTATGGAATTCAAAGCCCTGATTCAAGACATACTCTCCAGTGGAGAACTGAGTTAATGTTAAGAATGGATGCTCCTCATCGTGAGTTATATACTACAACTATATGTCGGTATCCCAAAATATATCCCCATTTCTCTGTTTAAATTGGTTTGAGAAAGATGTATAAATTTCATGTCCGAATGTCTCCAAACTGGTCCATGATGATGGGGAACTAAGAGACACAGGGATTTTAAGTTAACTCTTCGGCTGTTATTTAATTTTTAAGTATGATTCGGCATCGATGTTATTATTCACAATATATATGAGTTTATCAAGCCCGCAGGATCTTCAAGATGGTGGAAAAAGAGTATTCAAGACACTTGTACTCGGTGTTATCGCAAAGAAGATGTGCTATCAATACAGATAGTCTCTCGGGACTATAATTTCCTTGGAATGATTTGAGACCTCAGGGTAGCGTTTCGGACTTTGTCTTGTCCGGATTATTGTAGAGGCCGCTTCGGCTGCACGGATACCCCTCAGAGGAGTGTTTGTGGGATTAAGCATTGGAAATGAGTTGGTGTCAAGTGTATATAATAGGGATGGATGTAGAGTTATGAGGGCCTCACCCAACTGCATACTTAGAGTTCGTATGTCGGATGAATGAGATCAGTGCTGGGTTGAGTGGTGATGGATGTAAGGTGTCTTATACAAATGATACCAGGGGGCAGTAATGGTCAGAGATTAGATAGCTCGACTGAACCATGTACAAAAATTTCGACTGGCGTGTAATTAGCACACCCTGTGTCTGTAAAAGTTACACCGTGGAATAAGGCCAACACAGCAGTTCTTCACGTAAAGCACTTCAATTTATGACCTTTAAGGATGGATCTTACTCATCGTGAGTTAAATAATCCGATATTTATATGAGTGTTGGTGCCCTAAAATACATCTCCTTATTCTATCTTCATTGATTGAAAAGAATGCAAACAGTTTTGTAATCTAATGCCTCGAAATTAATCGCCTACAAGCCAAAGACTTTGGATCAAAATCATGTTGAGAGGGACGTGCGATACGGTGGGATTTCGAACCAAATCTCAGGATATCGTTCAAAAGTGTAAAACCATGCATCAGAGTTATCATACTCACTACGTACGAGTTCGTTAACTCGCAAAAACTAGTTACTAGAAACTACTCTCTATGATAGCTACTTGTAGCTATATTAGGCAGAGTTTCAGTACCCTAAGCAGCTCGAAGATCAACTAGTATAGAAAATCGTAAGCTGTGTTCTTGGTATTATACTTAATAACCTTTTTGGGTTTTAATCGATCCGGTATTAGCTTACGATCCAAGTTTTGTGGAGTTCGCATACCTTCCCTCGATCAGATTTTCCTTTGTATGGTTAGACAAATATGCTAAAGTTATATTTGTGCCTCAAGCTCTTTTTCATTAGTCAAAAGCGCAGTATCCCGGTATGATATTAGTCATTCCTAGATTAAGCATTAGCTTTGAAACTCCTACTATTATATTTGCAGTGTGGTAAGTGCATTGTTTTCAGAATCCGGAGACTCATGGTAACAACCCTCACATCCCACTTTTTCAAACTCCAAAGAGATGAAAACAGACCATCACTGCAGGTCGAACATAATTTAAGGTGATGTAATCTTGAGAGATTAGAGCCACTAGGTATATTGAATCATCCTGATTTTGGATGTTCAGCGTTGGCCCTGCATTCCTACTATTCAATGATATTTATGCAACGGCTTGATAATAAAACTGAAACTTGCGGCACTAAAAGTTTTGAATACATACATATCTAATTCTACAATATCCGCAATAGTAAAGGCATTTAGTGTATTAATAGTTCTATAACATAATCATGGGCCACCCTCCTTAATAAATACACAATATTGCATTTAATACTCACATTAAACTTCAGGCGACTCTTTATGAAACCAATAATTCTCAACTCCAATCCAGACAAACAATCGGCCTCAATAAACGGGGCCGCTATGGAAGCACACATATAAAATGTACAATTATTCAGTGTAATACTGTTCACAAACTTTTGCAATTGTAAATCTAATAAAGCTATATTCTCCGGTTTAAAACGTCCCTCTTGACACGTAGCAAATGATTTTATTTCCAAGTGTCGACACGATGTCTCATTATAATAATCCATTAACAGCACCGAATACTTAATTGACGAAGTGGCATACATCAAAGCCACACGATGAACATAGAAATTATATAACATTTCTTCGAAAATAAGACGTGCTGTTTCCATTTCTTTGTGATAATTATTGACATTATTATAGAGTATAATAAATCGGGCACCCGGATTCCAGGACAACATATTACTCACATTATTGCGCATTAAAGCCTTCAAACGTGTTACAGAATCCACAACAATTATATAATAATCTGCCAGTACTAGTTCTCTCTGAGACATGGGTATGCGTAAATATATCAAAGAATCCGATACTATGCGAAATTGATAATGCTTGTGTTTAGGTGGAGTTTCACTGATGGCCTCCATCATAAGTTTTAAGAAACCCTCTTGTATTTGGGCAGCTGGTGTGGACATATTAAAAACACTGGTCAAGACTATGTTCGGTGGGCGAGTCATAACTTCACGTTTCTTAAAGTAAATGGCGGTAAAGCGATCCAAACAACTTATCCCCGCCAGCCAAGTGCGTGGACCCAAATCAGTGGGTTTTTGCAAATAAATAACCATGCGAGCAGTTTCATTATCCGGATTTACAATACTCTCCACCATTTTCACTAAAACCAGCAAATATAGTAAAATTTCAATTGATTTCATCAACATCATTATGATGCTCTGAAGTTGTTGTTCTGCAAATCAACCACAATATTTACACTCTTCCGCTGTCGCAGGATACTAAATTGATTCTCTGTGTTTTATAGACTTTTATAATGCAATTTCATTTCGTTTCCTTTGTGGTTGCCTCCGGTTGTATGAACATTTTTGTCGTCGTCGTTGTTGTTTTTAGGTGCATGCCTCATTGTTTACTTTTGCCTGCCTTTGACCTGGTGGGCTTGTTAACGCCGTTATTTGTTTGGTCGTTCGTTATATACAAAAAAAAATGCAAAAGTAAAAAAAGTTACAATATTTACTTGAGATAATTAAAGTTGACGCAGAATTCCACAAAACTAAAAATCACGTCAGGGTGAATGAATTTGTTGTTCGTGTGTGTTGTCTGAAAAATTAATGAAAAAGGACTATGTAACATTTATATAAATATTTACCTTATAGAAAGGGTTCTTCATATAAGAGTTGTTAAGTAATTGCTACAAAGCAAGGTTTTTGCTATTGTGGGACCATAACATAGTTCCTCATATCATCTAGTTATTCCAAAGACAAACAAGTAGTTAGCATTTCTCGACATTTCTTTTAACATATACTTTTAAAAAACCTTGTACTAAAAGATCCGCAGTATATCTTATACTAATAACACATCAGTATATTTATTCTGTTATAATTTGTACCTACCTAATTATTTATTAATAAGTTTATTTTAGTTAAGTATATCTGTTCAGTATGACTTTTATATGTCCCATGAATTTAAGAAATTACTTCATTATTGGACCGATTTTGTTGATTATAAAAAGGAAACTTAACGAAAGCATATCTGATAGAATTACTGGCTGTTATCTAAGGTATTCTAAAAGCAGATTGAAACATACTGACAGATCAATAAGGTCTCGGAATAAATATATGTATATATACTTTATCAGTAAACTATATATCAAATCTAGCCTCGGACTTTTCTTGTAATGATTTGACCGGGAGTCAAACCAGAGTGCCAAATACTCAAATACCAGGGGACCTATAGTCTAGTCTAGTCTATAGTCTAGTCTATAGTCTAGTCTATAGTCTAGTCTATAGTCTAGTCTATAGTCTAGTCTATAGTCTAGTCTATAGTCTAGTCTATAGCTCTAGTCTATAGTCTAGTCTATATGTCTAGTCTATAGTCTAGTCTATAGCTCTAGTCTATAGTCTAGTCTATAGTCTCAGTCTATAGTCTAGTCTATAGTCTAGTCTATAGTCTAGTCTATAGTCTAGTCTTAGTCAGTTCTGTCTATAGTCTCGTCTATCGTCTAGTCTATAGTCTAGTCTATAAGTCTAGTCTATAAGTATAGTCTATAGTCTAGTCTATAGTTCTCGTCTATCGTTCTAGTCTCTAGTCTGTCTTATAGTCTAGTCTAAGTCTAGTCTATAGTTTAGTCTAAGTCTAGTCTATAGTTTAGTATATTAGTCTAGTCTATAGTCAGTCTATAGTCTAGTCTATAGTCTAGTATATAGTCTAGTCTTAGTCTAGTCTATAGTCTAGTCTATAGTCTAGTCTATAGTCTAGTCTATAGTTCTAGTCTCAGTCTAGTCTTATAGTATAGTTATAGTTATGTCTAGAGTCTAGTCTATAGTCTAGTCTATAGTCTAGTCTATAGTCTAGTCTATAGTCTAGTCTATAGTCTAGTCTATAGTCTAGTCTATAGTCTAGTCTATAGTCTAGTCTATAGTCTAGTCTATAGTCCTAGTCTATAGTCTAGTCTATAGTCTAGGTCTATAGTCTAGTCTATAGTCTAGTCTATAGTCTAGTCTATAGTCTAGTCTATAGTCTAGTCTATAGTCTAGTCTATATCTAGTCTATAGTCTAGTCTATAGTCTAGTCTATAGTCTAGTCTATAGTCTAGTCTATAGTCTAGTCTATAGTCTAGTCTATAGTCTAGTCTATAGTCTAGTCTATAGTCTAGTCTATAGTCTAGTCTATAGTCTAGTCTATAGTCTAGTCTATAGTCTAGTCTATAGTCTAGTCTAATAGTCTAGTCTATAGTCTAGTTTATAAGTCAGTCTATAGTCTAGTCTATAGTCTAGTCTATAGTCTAGTCTATAGTCAGTCTATAGTCTAGTCTAGCTATTCTATAGTCTATTCTATAGTCTAGTCTATAGTCTAGTCTATAGTCTATCTATAGTCTAGTCTATAGTCTGGTCTATAGTCTAGTCTATAGTCTAGTCTATAGTCTATTCTATAGTCTAGTCTATAGTCTAGTCTATAGTCTATTCTATAGTCTAGTCTATAGTCTAGTCTATAGTCTAGTCTATAGTCTAGTCTATAGTCTAGTCTATAGTCTAGTCTATAGTCTAGTCTATAGTCTAGTCTATAGTCTAGTCTATAGTCTAGTCTATAGTCTAGTCTATAGTCTAGTCTATAGTCTAGTCTATAGTCTAGTCTATAGTCTAGTCTATAGTCTAGTCTATAGTCTAGTCTATAGTCTAGTCTATAGTCTAGTCTATAGTCTAGTCTAGTCTAGTCTATAGTCTAGTCTATAGTCTAGTCTATAGTCTAGTCTATAGTCTAGTCTATAGTCTAGTCTATAGTCTAGTCTATAGTCTAGTCTATAGTCTAGTCTATAGTCTAGTCTATAGTCTAGTCTATAGTCTAGTCTATAGTCTAGTCTATAGTCTAGTCTATAGTCTAGTCTATAGTCTAGTCTATAGTCTAGTCTATAGTCTAGTCTATAGTCTAGTCTATAGTCTAGTCTATAGTCTAGTCTATAGTCTAGTCTATAGTCTAGTCTATAGTCTAGTCTATAGTCTAGTCTATAGTCTAGTCTATAGTCTAGTCTATAGTCTAGTCTATAGTCTAGTCTATAGTCTAGTCTATAGTCTAGTCTATAGTCTAGTCTATAGTCTAGTCTATAGTCTAGTCTATAGTCTAGTCTATAGTCTAGTCTATAGTCTAGTCTATAGTCTAGTCTATAGTCTAGTCTATAGTCTAGTCTATAGTCTAGTCTATAGTCTAGTCTATAGTCTAGTCTATAGTCTAGTCTATAGTCTAGTCTATAGTCTAGTCTATAGTCTAGTCTATAGTCTAGTCTATAGTCTAGTCTATAGTCTAGTCTATAGTCTAGTCTATATTCTAGTATAAAGTCTAGTCTATAGTCTAGTCTATAGTCTAGTCTATAGTCTAGTCTATAGTCTAGTCTATAGTCTAGTCTATAGTCTAGTTATAGTCTAGTCTATAGTCTAGTCTATAGTCTAGGCTATAGTCTAGTATAAAGTCTAGTCTATAGTCTAGTCTATAGTCTAGTCTATAGTCTAGTCTATAGTCTAGTCTATAGTCTAGTCTATAGTCTAGTCTATAGTCTAGTCTATAGTCTAGTCTATAGTCTAGTCTATAGTCTAGTCTATAGTCTAGTCTATAGTCTAGTCATAGTCTAGTCTATAGTTAGTCTATAGTCTAGTCTATAGTCTAGTCTATAGTTAGTCTATAGTCTAGTCTATAGTCTAGTCTATAGTTAGTCTATAGTCTAGTCTATGTATGTCTATAGTCTAGTTATAGTCTAGTCTATAGTCTAGTCTATAGTCTAGTCTATAGTCTAGTCTATAGTCTAGTCTATAGTCTAGGTCTATAGTCTAGTCTATAGTCTAGTCTATAGTCTAGTCTATAGTCTAGTCTATAGTCTAGTCTATAGTCCTAGTCTATAGTCTAGTCTATAGTCTAGTCTATAGTCTAGTCTAGTCTATAGTCTAGTCTATAGACTAGTCTATAGTCTAGTCTATAGTCTAGTCTATAGTCTAGTCTATAGTCTAGTCTATAGTCTGGTCTATAGTCTATCTATCTCTAGTCTATAGTCTAGTCTATAGTCTAGTCTATAGTCTAGTCTGTAGTCTAGTCTATAGTCTAGTCTATAGTCTAGTCTATAGTGTAGTCTATAGTCTAGTCTATAGTCTAGCCTATAGTCTAGTCTATAGTCTAGTCTATAGTCTAGCCTATAGTCTAGTCTATAGTGTAGTCTATAGTCTAGTCTATAGTCTAGCCTATGGTCTAGTCTATAGTCTAGTCTATAGTCTAGCCTATATTCTAGTCTATAGTCTAGTCTATAGTCTAGTCTATAGTCTAGTCTATAGTCTAGCCTATAGTCTAGTCTATAGTCTAGTCTATAGTCTAGCCTATAGTCTAGTCTATTGTCTAGTCTATAGTCTAGTCTATAGTCTAGTCTATAGTCTAGTCTATAGTCTAGTCTATAGTCTAGTCTATAGTCTAGTCTATAGTCTTAGTCTATAGTCTAGTCTATAGTCTAGTCTATAGTCTAGTCTATAGTCTAGTCTATAGTCTAGTCTAGTCTAGTCTAGTCTAGTCTAGTCTAGTCTATTAGTCTAGTCTATAGTCTAGTCTATAGTCTAGTCTAGTCTATAGTCTAGTCTAGTCTATAGTCTAGTCTAGTCTATAGTCTAGTCTGTAGTCTAGTCTGTAGTCTAGTCTTTGTCTATAGTCTAGTCTATAGTCTAGGCTATAGTGTAGTCTATAGTCTAGTCTATAGTCTAGCCTATAGTCTAGTCTATAGTCTAGTCTATAGTCTAGCCTATAGTCTAGTCTATAGTCTAGTCTATAGTCTAGCCTATAGTCTAGTCTATAGTCTAGTCTATAGTCTAGTCTATAGTCTAGTCTATAGTCTAGTCTATAGTCTAGCCTATAGTCTAGTCTATAGTCTAGTCTATAGTCTAGCCTATAGTCTAGTCTATAGTCTAGTCCATAGTCTAGTCTATAGTCTAGTCTATATTCTAGTCTATAGTCTAGTCTATATTCTAGTCTATAGTCTAGTCTATAGTCTAGTCTATAGTCTAGTCTATAGTTCAGTCTATAGTCTATTATTTTAAAGATTTTAAATAATATTCGTAGATCATCATCAAACAACTGGTTCCTCTAACACCACCCGCTGTCTAGTTTAATAATTTGCAATAATTTCAAATACAAATGCTAATTTATGTTTGTTGCT